ATAACTGATTTTAGTTTTCTTTTCCTCATTTAGGTATCTCGATAGTTCTCCAGCATTAAATTGCAGGAAACTGAGTAAAGTGATTTTGTTTGGTTTTGTTTTGCTCTATTATTTTTGGTGCTGATTGTCCTGTGCGTTCTGAGAGAAGTCGAATAAACTAGTTAAAGTTAATTTTTGTCTTCATTAGTACTGATGACATTCGTCGAGTATTTCATGAGAAAAATGGAATAAGTTAGTTTATGTGCTTTTTTTGTGTGATATGTTGTCCTAATAGTTATTGAGCTTTTTACTGAGGAAAATAGAATAATATAATTCACTTTTATTTTCCGTCGTTTGCTACTTATGATATTTGTCGAGCGTTTTTTGGAGAAAATGAAGAAATTATTTTTGTTTAACTTGCTTTATCTTGATTCAGTTCTGCCGATAGCTGTAGAGAATCCTACGAGAGAAGAAAACAAAGATGATTTACCTTTCGTATTTCTTTCCCTCATTTTGCTGCTACGAGGATGTAAGTGCGGACATGAGTATAAATATGGATGTGGGTATAAGTCTGTTCTTTTAATCCAGACTCACACGCACACCCACCCCCACGTCCCATATGTACAATCTACGCAACAGCTTGAACAATAAAGATGTCGATATGGGTGTGAGTTGTACGTGTGAGTGATGGTGTGGTATGACGGTAAATTACAGAATGACTGATTACAGCACTAATATCCACACTCCACTTTTTTCCAAGAGATTTTATTGAGCACATTAAAGTGTTAATTCATCAGCAAGGGTATATTTATCGTATACACTAAATTATATGCTGTTGGTATTAAGCATTCGATCGTTTTGATGTCATAATATGATTAAGCTAAATTTTTTTCAAGAAGAAAAAGTTCGAAGCATATAAAGATGAGTATGTACATTTGTAATAACTCGTTATCAACTACATCTGAGAATAACTATCGACTTTTTTTTCGAAGCCTTTTGGTTAAATATATGAATGTAACATATTATGGGTTTCAAAATAGAAAACAATTTTTTATTTTTTCTACTTCCTTTTGCTTTTCGATATCTTTTCAGGTATGTATTTTTATTATTTCGTGCGCAAGATTCACTATTCGCAGATCACTGAAGCATATCAATTTGTGTGCATGTAACGTGGTATGCAATTTTCTGCGCGCATCTTGTGTAGACTTGTTCGTGATAAAGTATATAATTGAAAAAAATCCAAAAAAGAAAGAAAGTTAAGCAAAATAACGAATAATAAGAAGTGACTAAAGTTGCTTTGCTGCAAAGGTTAAAAAAAGAATTATTCGACAAAACAAGAAAATAGTGTTACGTACATAACATCAACCTAATCAACAGAACTTCAACAAAAAGTTCTCCATATATTGGATTTTTTTCATTTCGTCGTAGTGAGTAACTTATTAGAATAATGCAAAAAATATAAACAAGTCTATTAAATAACACATGCATAGTGCTAATATGAACTGTACATGAGACACGATTGAGACAGATATGAAATCGATCACAATGATCGACTTTTCTTTTGAATGATCGATTGATAAATGTTTGTCAGTTTATATTTATATTTATAGACCCTTACCGTTACCGGTGTAAGGTGAGAAGTTTGCCAGTTATGAGTCTTCTTGATTCATTTTGTTGTCTCTATTTCGTTTTTATTTATTATTTCAATCAGGCTCAATTCGTTGACAATGTCTATATATAACATAATTAGTTCGCTGACTTTTCTTTTTTCATTAGTATACATCATGCTTAGTTACTCAAGAGACGACTGTTGAACTATCAGTAAAATGCAGTTGAGATTTTGATTACAATATGTATAGAAATCCTATTGACACAATAGTAAAATTTTCACGCCGGTGAAGAAAACAGTATAAAGCATCACGTCTTCCAGCAGTGTCTCAAAGTCAACCTGAGATACTTCGTACCATGCAACACAGCGAAGCATAAGAAACAGACCAGACGGCTTAAGTCGAACATTCTTCTGTGAAGATGGCCACAATAATTTTCAGATGGGTGTGAATGAAAGTGCCCACACCCACATCCTACGGGGATTTCGAAAAAAATTTTTTGCGGTACCCCAATCCAGGGTTTTCGGTAGAAGTTTTTTTTTGACATTTTCAAAGAAGTTACATAACGTAATTAATAGGGAATCACGTGCTGATATATAGTGGATAGAAGCTTTCTTCATACCATGTAATATTTTCAATAATTTCTAAGCAAATCTTGAAAGTTTTAGCGTATATAAGGTCACTTTTCGGCTCAGCTTCTGATAACGCTCTGCACAGCATCTAATAATGTCCCATATCAATTATTGCACGGCTTTGTAGTACTAAGTATGTAGTTTAAAACCATAAAGACCAGACTTCTAGAGACCTGATTTTGCTCTAGATCAATCATTCGAAAAACTGTGTTTATGATGAAAATCTAGCTTTTCACGAGGATTCCATGCGTCATAGGAACTAGCCAGAGAGCTGAATTTTTATCAGAGTTACTACTAAATGACATCTCTCTTGAGCCAAAATTACAGCTTTCTAACATGATCCGTTCTTGAGATAGGCCTATGCACAAAATATCAAAAAATGTCAATTTTATCATGCACTTGGTAGTCTTGGTCAACGCAATGAGAGTTCATTCATTTGATCTCATCTTTTTCTGACTAACACAATAATCTGAGATGGAACTTCAGTAAAAAATTCAGGCGAAAAGGATATATTCTTGAAGAGATATCAGCGCCACAAAAATGACAATTTTTGACCAGGATGCTTTCAGAAAAATTTAAATATCTCAAGACGGAACAAAATTTTTTGAAACGGTTTGCGTAGACATTTATCAAACACTTGTCCCTATGACATATGTAAAGAGCAGTCCAATGGGCGATCATCAATTGATGCTTTACTTTTCTAAAACCGAAACTTATTACTGATAGGTGCATACCAACGTAAAACAAACTAAATATTTCACACAATGTCATCGTCCGATGACGAAACTGCAAGTTCCAAGCCCATCAGTGTCATTGATATCCAGACGAATACAGCACAAACATTGTCGAAAAGTGACGATGTACATACGGCAGAGAATAATATGCAACAACATTCCATTAACGACAATATTTCATTCCGACATTGGTCAGCTCACGGAATGAAAAAGTTCATTGTCATTTGGTTGCATCCAAATATGGATGAAGCGGATACTGACTATCAAAATTCCATCCATGAACTTCGGCAGATTGTCAGTTCAACTAAAGTCTTTAATGACGTTGAGCAATGTATTGATTTTATCATTGAAATTGACGATGCAAAATTTTTCCTCATTTTGTCGGATGCGATCGGCGAAATAATCATGCCACTTATTCATGATACGTCTCAAGTCCATTCAATTTACATCTTTAATACCAACAACACGGAACACGGACAATGGATTTCAGAATGGAAGAAAATTGAAGGTGTCTTCTCGGATATCTTATCCATTTGTGATCAACTTAAACGAAACATTAGGCATTGCGAGCAGGATGTTATACCGATTAACATTATGTCAACGTCTTCTACTGTTGATTCGAATGAACTCGATCAATCATTCATGTATTCACAATTGCTTACAGAGATTCTCCTCGAAATGAACTATGAAAAAGCGGCAAAGAGAGAATTCATTGAATTCTGTCGTAAACAATATCAAGATAACGAAGTACAGTTGCATAGAATCAACGATTTCGAACGAGACTATGAACTTCACTCGGCTCTCTGGTGGCATATAAAGGAATCATTCATTGTTTCAATGCTTGCTCATGCATTACGAACACAAAATATCGCGATAATTATCAAAATGGGATTCTACATAAAAGATCTTCATCAACAAATCAAACAAATACATTCAACAACAAGCAAAAGCAAAAAAATCATTACCTACCGAGGTCAAGTCATGGCAAATACCGAATTCGAGACGTTGACAAAGAACATAGGCGGTCTCATCGCGTTCAATAGTTTTCTGTCGACGACTACCAGTTCTGTAGAAGCAGTTTTATATGCTGAACGTGCTCAAGTAGATCCTCAGCTGACGAGCATTATTTTTCAAATGAAAATTGATCCGTTGATCTCGGCAATCCCTTTCGTTTCATTAAACAACATCAACGATATCGCATTCTGCGAAAATGAAATTCTATTCTCGATGCACACTGTTTTTCGGATCAATGCAATTGAACAAATTACCGATTATTTGTGGAGTGTGGATTTGACCTTAACGAGCGACACTGATGATCAGCTTCAATGTCTCACTGAACGTTTACGTAAACAAATCGAAGGACCTAATCCGTTGCATCGACTGGGTAAGCTATTAATTAAGATGGGTGCTTTTGACAAAGCTGAAGAAATCTTTAAGATATTACTCGAAACAACTACAAACGTCGACCTAGAACAAGTGGTTTCTTTCTACAACCAATACGGATATATTTGCAAAGAGAAGGGTAATTTTTCAAGTGCACTCTTCTATCATCAGAAGGCGCTTGAAATTCAGCAGAAAATTCCTCAGCTAAATCATTTCGTGTTAGCTAACATCTATAATAATATTGGTGAAGTGCATCGATTAAGGGGAGACTATTTGACTGCACTGTCATACTATCAAAAAGCACTTGAAATGGATCAAGAATATCTGCCGTCCAATCATCCTGAGTTAGCTACTATATATAATAATATTAGTCAGGTGTATAATTTGATGGCAGATTACTCAGCTGCACTCTCTTATCTACAAAAAACTCTAGAAATCCACGAGAAAAGTCTCTCGGCTAATCATCCTGATCTGGCAACTACATATGAAAACATCGGTCGAGTGTATTACGCTATGGGAGAATATTCAACTGCACTCTCACATCATCAAAAGGCCCTTGAAATCCAACAAAAATCTCTTCCGTCCGACCATCCCTTACTAGCAATTACGCATAACAGCATTGGTCAAGTGTACTATACTATGGGAGAATATTCAACTGCACTCTCACATCATCAAAAGGCACTCGAAATACAACAGACGTCTCTCCCATCAAGTCATCCTGATTTAGCTGCTACTCATAGCAATATCGGTCGAGTATATGATTCGATGGGAAACTATTCCACTGCACTGTCCCATTTGCAAACGACTCTTCAGATCCAAGAAAAAAGTCCCCCGTGCAATCACCCTGATCTGGCAACTACATATGAAAACATCGGTCGAGTGCATTATGCTATGGGAGAATATTCAACTGCACTCTTACATCATCAAAAGACACTTGAAATCCGATACAAATCTCTTCCGTCCAACCATCCATTATTGGCAATTACACATAACAACATTGGTCAAGTGCATCATGCTATGGGAGAATATTCAACCGCACACTCACATCATCAAAAGGCACTCGGAATACAACAGAAATCGCTCCCATCAAGTCATCCTGATCTGGCTATAACTTACAATAATATTGGTGAAATTTGGGTTGCGATGGCTGACTACTTAAAAGCAGTGTCATGTTATAAAAAGACGCTTAAAATTCAGCAAGTAGCTCTTCCATCAGATCATCCATCATTAGCGATCACTTACAACAACATTGGTCGTGTACATGAGCTGAGAGAACATTACTCAGATGCACTGTTTAACTATGAGAAGGCACTCAAAATTCAGCTAAAAGCTCTTCCGTCTAACCATCCATCGCTTGCTACCACTTATAACAGTATTGGCAAGATGAATGGATTGACGGGAAATTACTCATCTGCTCTTTTGTATCACGAAAACACACTTGAAATACGCACAAAATCTCTTCCAGCAAACCATCCGTCGCTCGCTGAAAGCCATCACAATATTGCAATGATTATGAAAGGTCTTCGCCGATATGACGAAGCTGTCAAACATGCATTATGTGCTCTCAATATTGCATGTCATAGTTTCGAACCAAACAAATCACTTTACTCAGTTTCCTGCAATTTAATGCTGGAGAACTATCGAGATACCTAAATGAGGAAAAGAAAACTAAAATCAGTTATCTGATTCTAATTCTCTTATAAGACATGCCATAACTATCAGGATGAAAAAATGAAGATAAAAAAGTATAGTTAATTTTCTAATTACATTTCCATAATAAAAGGTGCAAGAACTATTCGAATGGCTGTAGAAAGTAGCGGAAAACGCAAGTC